TATGGGGAGGAAGTGGAAGGGGAGCTGTTGCATTGTGGTAAACTGTGGTCAATGTCATGAGACAAAGTGTATGTGAACTGCTGTATGGAAAGTGAATCTGCTCTGTAAATCTTCACCTAAATCACAATAAAAAAAAAAGTCCAATCGGATATAAAAAGTACTACAAATCGATTCTAAATAAACAGTGTGACATGGTGCAGGGATAGATATTATTCATTAGAATACAATAAAGAACCTAGAAATGGACGCATGTGTAAATTAAAGGTAGAATTTTATATCCAGGGGAAAATAAATGGCATTGGGATAACTGCCGATTTAGGAAAAATAGAGAGTTTACTCTCTTGAAAAATGTTGCTGTTGTCATAAGCTGTTGTTAAGTTACCCCAACTCATGGTGATCCTGTGTACAACTGAACAAAATGCTGTCTGGTCCTGCACTATTCCCATGACTGGCTGTGAATCGGACTGTTGTGATTCACAGGGTTTTCAGTGGTAGATTTTCCAAAGTAGCTTGCCAGGCCTTCCTTCCTAGTCTCTCTTAGTTGAGAAGTGCTGCTGAAACCATTTAGCACAGAGCACTACCAGCCAGAGGCACTGTGGTAGTTTAGGTTGTGTGTCAACTTGCCTGGGCCTAGATGAGTGGGTGGGCAGCTGGATGTAGTTATTCCCTATGATGAGACTGGCAATCAACTCCACGGTGGAACCTACTGGAGCAGCTGAGTAGCTGCTTTAGGGATGTGGGCTGCTTCCTGAAGCAGTTTTGAGGAAGGTCTCTATCTCATGGTATGCTTGAACCCTACATGTAGCTGAGTCATTGTTCAGCAATCTGCCATATTGCCTTGCTGATCTTGGGACTTTTTCTGGACTTGAATCAATGGCCTGCTGTGTGGTTTGGTAATATTGGGACTGTGCCATTTTATTTGTCGACCTTGGGCTTGTTAGCCTCAGCAGTTAGCAGCTGCCTGAGTGAAGCAATGTCCCTAGCTTCAGTGGGCCAGGCACAAGAGGCAGACCTGAAGCCCAAGGTTAAGGGGGCTTTCACCCAGACCCTAGAGCCTGGCACTTTGAACCCAGACTTCTAGCCTCCAAAACTTTTAAGAGAAGAAACTCCTGTTTGTTAAAGCCATTGCACCTGTGGTATTTTCTCTTAGTGCGGCACTAGGCAACCAAAACAGGCACCAACGCAGCTGGTGCATGGGAGGCCCTGCAGATGGTATTTCTAGCATCGGGGGTATCTGTTTTCCAAAAAGAATGACTGGAGTCTTCTTCATGTAATCACCTGTGCTGGTAAAGTTTACAACAATTTCATTTGTAAAGACTTGACTTGCATACAAATTTTCAGAATGCCAAGCATATGAGCTTGTGAGTGATCAATAAACAGAACACCACTTGTAGGGTGTGGAAGTCAGAGTACGTGATTACGAAGATCCCCTTCCAGTTTTAATAGCCTGTGAAACTGAAGGCTGCTGGCAGGAAAAATGGTAGGATTATAGCAATTTTCTGCGGGGTCAGTAAAAATTAGATTCTTCTTCTAAGTTATGTCTTTTGAAAACTGAGTTTCTATTCTCTCTGGGTTATGTCCATTGTGAGCCCAAAGCAGACACATAAGTACGCACACTGACTCTCACCAGCACCTGTTCTGGGCATAAAACTTCTATTGAATATATTCAAGAGTAGAATAAATGATGCTGATGCTTTCCTTCTGGCCCAGAAAATGAAACTAAGAGGCGAGGGAAAAGAAACAAAAATGTAGCCCTTTAAAATGACTTGGAATTCTTTGAAAGAAGAAAAAAAAAAATTAATTTTAGAAATTTATTCAGGGGTGGTTAACTTTAGTGTTCTTAAAAGAGATTGCTCAGCTTATTATGGAAGCCTAGACATTTATAATCTTTTTTGATCATATCTTTCAAGTTGCCACATTGACTATTAGGTTATCAACCAAGCAAACAACGACAAATGTGGGAGAGGCAGAATGTATGCATTAGGCGGTTTTATGCTACATTGCATTATGTCTGCCTACCTTGTAAACTGTCGACTCTCTTCATGGACTTCCATTTCTGTGCTTTTGAATTCATTTAATTCTTTCCTTATCGCTGCCTACACAGGAAAAAATAGGTACAGAGAAAAACAGGTACTTAGGTCACATGTTTTCTCAGCACATACAGCAAGAATGAAGCAGACACTTAAGAAATGTCCTGTCGAGACAGAGGGCTTCCTAATTTCTACCAGGTAAAGGTGTGTGTGGTGTTAATTTTATTTGCCAATTTGGCTAGGCTCTGATTCCCAGTTGTTTGACCAAATGCTAGTCTAGTTACTGTAATGGAGTGGCTTCATGTGATTAAATCAGTCCGCTGTGGGAAGAGCAGATTACCTTATTCAATAAAATCTAATGTAATCAATCAATTGAAGAGAGAGTTTCCAAAAGTTGTGTTGTTTCTGGACCATAGATAGATATTTTGGCTGAACTCACACATGGGAGAAGACAGACACCATTTGAGCATCATCTATAAGGAATGCCAAGGAACCAAGGAATATGCAGGGCTATTGACAAGGAATGAATCAACATGGCCAAGACCTTGATTTGGACAGTTAGCTTCCACTGTGAGAAAGTGAATTTCTGTTCTTTAAAGCCACCCCCTTGTGATATTTGTGCTACAGCAGAACTAGGAAATGAAGACAGTATGATAAATGTGAGTTCACATGACAAACTAAACCAAGAATAGATGACAAGTGTCATAGACAAGGCTTTGGAGAAAAAGAGGGCCTTTGCTAAACGTTATCTTGTGCCTAATCTCTGAGCATCCCCAGTCCCTGATGACCACATAGAAAGCGCAGGTCATGAGATTTTCTCAGATATGATGCCACTTTCCAACAAAATTTATGCAATTAATACTTCCCACAACATCATGGGCTAAGGGCCACAAAGCTATAGAGAAGACAGCTATTTATTCCTTAATATTAGAGGCCGGACAAACAGAACTTAAAAATGTCAGTGTAGCACTGAAAGCTGCTCAGAGAAAATATCAAATAGGATGCCCCGCTATTTAATGAAAACGGAATCTGTATCATGGACATTGTGCAGTTTGAGGGATTCTTAGGGAATTCAGGTTGAAAAGCTGAGATAGTCATCAAAATAGTAACAACATTAACAATAGTGGCAGGATTATGGACGGTTTTGGGTTTCAACTTTTTGTTTATCTTTATTTCCTAATTTTTCTTTTTTAACAAGGAATGTTTTACTCACGTAAAAAATGGACTAATAAAATCATCTCCATAACCTCTATGCAAAATGGACTTTTTAGTCAAAACATGGAAGGATAATCCAAACCACAGAGAGTGACTTCACTGAGAGATAAGAAAATCTACTTTGTGGCTGGAAAATGATGAATTTTAGAAAAGGGAAAAGAGAGGAGCAAGCCCTGAGGCCTCCTTATCTGGCTTTCTCCCAGGACTAACCGCCATCCTGCTATAGGCAAGCTTTTCCTCCAAATCTTCTTTCAACTTTATATTTAGATCCTTGTGCTACATTTTGTCTCTTCTCCCCAGATATATTCCACAGCCCCTGTAGTTTCTATGGGCAACCTATGGCACTCTATCTTGTTACTGACTTTTCAAAGTAATGAAGCAAGCAGAGAAATGCCGGCAGGCCTGGGTCCCTGGAATACAGTTGCTCAGCTGGCCTCACAGCTCAGATCTATGGTGAAGACACCTTATTTTACTCACTGTGAAAACGGCTACCTAAACTAGTACCAGGAGCCCAAATAACGAAGATGCTCTCTACCAGTCCCCAACGAACATCTATCAAAAATTCTTCCTCAAAAGAGGTATTATCATTTAGATCCTGATGGAGAGGCCTGCCTCCATGTTCATTTTAAATTCCTCTTCCAAATGTAAGGCTCCAGCGTGGTGGTGGTTGTTAAATGCCTTCGAGTCAGCTCCAACTCATAGTGACCTAATGGACAAAAGAATGCAAACACTGCCCAGTCCTGTGCCAGCTCCACGATCCCTGCTATACCTGAGCCCACTGTTGTAGCCACTGTGTCAATCCATCTCGTTGAGAGCCTTCCCCTTTTCATCGACCCTCTACTTTACCAAGCATGATATCCTTCTCCAGAGAATGGTCCCTTCTGACAACATGACCAAAGTAGGTGAGACGAAGTCTGGCCTTTCTCACTTCCTAGGAGCATTCTAGCTATACTTCTTCCAGGACCAATTTGTTAGTTTTTTTAGCAGTCCTCAGTTCTTTCAGTATTCTTCGCCAGCATCACAACTCACAAGGATCAACTCTTCTTTGGTCTTCCTTATTCGTTGTCCAGATCTCACATGCATATGAGGCGATTGTAAATACCATGGCTTGGGTTAGGTGCACCTTAATCTTCAAAGAGAAGTCTCTGCTCTTTAGCAAAGACATCTTTTGCAGCAGATCTGCCCAGTGCTATATGTCATCTGATGTCCTGACTGCTGCTTCCATCGGTGTTGACTGTAGAACCAGGTGACATGAAGTCTCTGACAACTTCAATCTTTTCTCCATTTATCATGATGCTGCTTATTGGTCCAGTTGTGAGGAATTTTGTTTTCTTTATACTTAGGTATAATCCATACCTAATGAATTATGAATAAGGAAGTGAATAAGGAATAAGGACAATGAATAAGGAAGACTGAAGAAGAGTTGATGCTTTTGAGTTGCAGTGTTGGCGAAGAATGCTGAAAATACCATGAGCTGCTAAAAGAATTAACAAATCTGTCATGAAAGAAGTGCAGTTGGAATGCTCCTTGGATGTGAGAATGGCCAGACTTCATCTCACCTGTTTTGGTCATGTTATCAGAAGGGACCATTCTCTGGAGAAGGATGTTATGCTTGGTAAAGTGGTGGTCAACAGAAAAGGGGAAGGACCTTAACAAGGTGGATTGACATGGTGGCTGCAGTGATGAGCTCAGGTATAGTAGGGATTGTGAGGCTGGCACAGGACCGGGCAATGGTTTGTTCTGTTGTACATAAGGTTGCTAGGAGTCAGAGATGACTTGATGGCACATAACAACAAGAACAACAACAATCCATACTGCATATGGCAGTCTTCAATTTTCATCAATAAGTGCTTCAAGTCACCCTCACTTTCAGCAAGCAAAGTTGTGTTGTCTGTGTATCGCAGGTTGTTAATGAGTCTTCCTTCAACTCTGATGCCATGTTCTCCTTCATACAGTCCAGCTTCTCAGATTATTTGCTCAGCATACAGATTGAGTAAGTATGGTGAAAGGATACAATCTTGATGCACTCCCTTCCTGATTTTAAACCATGCAATATTCCCTTGTTTTTTTTGAATAATAGCCTCTTGGTCTATATACGGATTCCTCATGAGTACAATTAAGTGTTCTGGAATTCCCATTCTTCTCATTGTTATCCATAATTTGTTATGATCCACATAATCAAATGCTTTTGCATAGTCAGTAAAACACAAGTAAACATCTTTCTGGTATTCTTTGTTTTCAGTCAAGATCCATCTGAGATCAGCTATGATATCCCTTGCTCCACATCTTCTTCTGAATCTAGCTTGCATTTCTGGAAGCTCTCTGTCAATATACTCCTGCAACCATTTTTGAATTATCTTCAGTAAGATGTTACCTGCATGTGATATTAATGATAGTTAATTTTAATATTGACAATTTCCACATTCTGTGGGTTCACTTTTCTTTGGAATGGGTAAAAACATGGATCTCTTCCAGTCAGTTGGCCAAGTAGCTGTCTTCCAAATCTCTCGGCATAGCCAAGTGGTGCCTCCAGTTGAAACATCTCAGTGGGTACTCCATCAATTCCTGGAGCCTTATTTTTCACCAATTCCTTCAGTGTAGCTTCGACTTCTTCCTTTAGTACTATTGGTCCTTGATCATATGCCACCTCCTAAAATAGGTGAACATCGAGCAATTCTTTTTGGTACAGTGACTCTGTGTATTCCTTCCATCTTCTTTTGATGTTTCTTGCATCATTCAATTTATTGCCCATAAAATCTTTCAATATTGCAACTCGAGGCTTAAATTTTTTTCTTCAGTTCTCTGAGCTTGAAAAATGCTGAATGTGTTCTTCCCTTTTGTTTTTCTAACTCCAGGTCTTTGCAAACTTCATTATAATAATTGACATTGTCTTCCCGAGCTGCTCTTTGACATCTTCAGTTCAACTCTTTTATCTTGTCATTTTTTTCCATTTTCTTTAGCTACTCTCCATTCAAGGGCAAGTTTCAGAGTCTCATCTGACATCCATTTTGGTCTTTTCTTCCTTTTCTGTCTTTTTAATGACCTTTTGCTTTTTTCATGGATGATATTCTTGATGTCATCCCACAATTCCTGTTTTTCAGTTATTGGTGCTCAATGCATCAAATCTATTCTTTAGATGGTCTCTGAATTCAGGAGGGATATAATCAAGGTCATATTTTGGCTGTCATGGACTTCCTTTAATTGTCTTCACCTTCAACTTGAACTTGCATATGAGTAGTTGATGGTCGTTTCCACAGTCAGCACCTGGCCTTGTTTTGGCTGAAGATTCTCTATTGCCTCTTGCCACAGATCTAGTCAATCTGATTCCTGTTTATTCTGTCTGGTGAAGTCCATGTGTATAGCTGCTGTATGTGTTGTTGAAAGAGGTATTTGCAATGAATAAGTCACTGGTCTTGCAAAATTCTATCATGCGATCTTCAGTGTTATTTCTATCTCTAGATAGAATAAAATATTTCTATCATATTTTCCAACTACCAATGATTCTTCTTTGTTTCCAACTTTTGCATTCCAATCACCAGTGATAATTAACACGTCTTGATTGCATGTTCAGTCAATTTCAGACTGCAGAAGTTGGTAAAGATCTTCAGTTTCCTCATCATTGGCTTTCGTGGTTGGTGTGTAAATTTGAATAATAGTAGTATTAACTGGTCTTCCTTGTAGGCATATGGATATTATCCTATCACTGACAGCATTGTACTTCAGGATAGATCTTGATACATTCTTTATGATGATGAATGCCATACCATTCCTCTTCAGTTTGTCATTCATAGTATGTCAAGTATAGTAGGTCATATGATTGTCTGATACAAAATGGCCAAAACCAGTCCATT